AGGGAGGTGATTCTGCCCCTCTGCTCTGCTCTCTTGAGACCCCACCTGGAGTACTGCATCCAGGTCTGGGCCCCCCAGCACAAGAAGGACATTGAGCTGTTGGAACGGGTCCAGAGGAAGGCCATGAAGATGATCAGAGGGCTGGAGCACCTCCCCTATGAGGACAAGCTAAGAGAGTTGGGGTTGTTTAGCCTGGAGAACAGAAGGCTCCGGGGTGACCTTATAGCGGACTTCCAGTACCTGAAGGGGGCTACAGGGAAGCTGGGGAGGGACTTTTTACAAGGGCATGCAGCGATGGGATAAGGGGTGATAGAATTAAACTGGAAGAGGGCAAATTTAGACTAGATATAAGGACAAAATTCTTTACTGTGAGGGCGGTGAGACACTGGAACAGGTTGCCCAGGGAAGTCGTGGATGCCCCATCCCTGGAGGTGTTCAAGGCCAGGCTGGATGAGGCTTTGAGCAACTTGGTCTGGTGGGAGGTGTCCCTGCCCATGGCAGGGGGGTTGGAACTAGATGATCTCTAAGATCCCTTCCAACCCAAACCATTCTATGATTCTATGACTGATTCAATTAGACCCACAGCAAGGAAGAAAATGTGATTTACTGGCAAAGAAGGCAGCACCGAGAAACTGGAAGAGTAAGGTCACTAGTAGTATCAGATTTCCAAAGGAAAAAAAAAACCATGGATAAACACAGAAGTGGAGAAAGTAAGAACCAAGTCTGTATACAAAGGCTGTGGGGAAAACCATTTGGCATAAATTGATAAAAAGCTGCATCTTCATCTTTTTTTGACAGTCTTATGAGAGAAAAGAGATAGGAAAGGAAAGAGAGAGCGTTGCCATGAATAATGCTAAAAGCAGTGGGACAGTGAACAAAACCTTGTTATAAGAACTGCATGACCAGAGTATTGCTGAGACCAGAAGCTGAGAATTTCACTTCATGGTTTTGAAAATGTTTTCTCCCTGAATGGAGATGGAAAAGCAGGAGTTGGGTTTTTTTTTGCAGGAAGGGACTTAAAGAAAACCTAAATAGATTTTTTGTTATGACTTGTGGGCTGTGCAGCTTGGAGGTGGTTGTCAGCTGGCAGAATGTTGAATTGGCAAGACACTTCCAACCTGACAGCTCAGGGCCTGTTTCCCTGTCAGATCCAAGTTTACAGAGACAGGGACCCCACCCTCTCTTCTGCATCCTAGCCCCACAGTTAGGAACATCGCTTTTCTGCTGCCCAGTTACCCTTGCTTAGCCCTAGAAGCCAGAGCAGCAGGGAGTGGACTGTCCCAAGGATGTGGAATATCCCAGATCTCTGTCCCAGGTGACAGAGCTGGGAGAGAAGAGAGCTATGACAAGCCAGGCGGCAGGGCTAACCTCCAGCAATGCCTGGAAGGTGTTTGTTCAAATTTCATTTTCTGCCCAGAAAGTCAAGTTTGTGGGAGTTTTATTTATGGGAACTTTTGTTTCCATGTTAACTACAAGAAATTAACATATTTTTTACAAAAGTAAAAAAAAAAAAAATTTTAAAGAGAAAATTTGTGTCTGAAATATAAAATGGAAAATTCCTGATCAGTTCTGGTTAATACATAGGCGTTGCAACAGAAACAGTGATATCGGTGGCCATGTCACTATCTCAGGCATCTCTGGAGCACACTGCATAGAAGAAGGTAAATGTGTTTTAAAAGGACTTAGCATAGTTAAAGGAGAAGCCAAGAGCAGGGGTGTGAACCAGAGGAGAGAGCTCTTTAATCTAATGTATAGTCTTGGCACAGTACTAAAAGATATACACTGGCCAGGAATAAACTTAGCTTGACAATTTAAAGACCATTTTTTAACCACTTGAAAGTAAGACTCTGAAACAACCTTCTAATAAGAGCAGGGATAAAAAGCTTAACTAGTTTTAAAATGGAAGTTGAGGGGTTTACAAGAAGGGTTATACCGCAGTAGCACTGCACTCTGGTGTTACAGAGGTCCCTCCCTGCCCATCATCTCCGAGTCAGTCCTCAGGCACCTGGCTAGAATGCCAGTGCACTTTTGCATCTCTGGAAATACAGCTTTTAATAAATGGGTTTGAAAATAAGCAAGCAAGGAATCCTCCCATTTAATGCACAGGACACATCATTCAAATAATGCCATCAAGATTTCTGGTTTCCCAACGTCTTTGTCAAGCCACAGGAGCCAGAAGACAGGATGATACAGGGATGAGGTGCAGGGGCTGACTCAGCCCTAGGTTACCTCTCCTTCTGATTTCATGTGCAGCTGAGGGGGCACAATGAAGAGAAGCCAGCCCTCCCTCTGACTAATTCTGCCTTGCCAATGGGACACTCACTTGTTGCTTCCAAAGAATTATAGTGAGAACAGAAGAGCAAAGGCAGGTTTGAAAGTTAACAGCTCGGGAAGAGAATGGTATCCCATGTAACATTATTTGAGCCCAACAAAGCCGTGATAGCTGGTTTTAAAACAGGGAGAAGATGGTCCTCATCTGATTTAAACTAAGGCTCCTTTCCAAAGCCAAAGCAGTGTAAATACCCCTACTGTAAATTGGCCTTGGGCTCTCTAGAGGCACTGACAATGTTTCATTTTAGTGATTTTTGTAATGAGAAGGAAGGGAATAATGTGGATTTATTTAATCTGGTGAATGTTGGTGCTGTAGAATGACAGTTGCTCTCTGTCAGCATTGTTGAGCTGTGGCATTGTGGCATCCAGAAAACTCTCATTGTGTGCTTTATCCACAGAGCTGCCATTGTCACCAGTGCATTCTGTCCCTCCACGTGTTTCTATGACTGGCTGGTACAATACACTTGCTAAAAATATTATGCAGTTAAATATTACATGAGTACTGAGAGGCATCCTAACTCACAGTCTTTTGCCAGTGTAGCTGAAAACCTGTCAAATGCCAAATCCAAGAAAAACCACAGAAGCACATTAGCATGGCAAAGGTTTTGCAATAAAAACAAAGTGTTAAGAAAAAAGGAATCTAAGTAGAAATGTAATTCAGTATTCAGAAGGCATAGCTGAGGCTTTAAGAATGTGATACTTATTCCATTTAATTCTCTAATAAACTATTCATATATTTCTATGGCATCCAAAGTCAGCTGAAACCTTTAAGGATCAGAATAAAGACTTTCTTTGTCTTCAAACTCCAACATAATGCAACAGAATATGTTGAGAGTCAAAGTAACAAGGAAAAAGAAATTACAGGGTTTGAGTAGTAATAGATTTGTAAAGCTGAAATGAACTATATGTTAGTAATCCAAAATGAAAAAAAAAAAAAGTATTAACATATGGCCACTGCAACAGTACTGAAAATAGTAATTACAATCTGAGGAGAGTTACTGTACTGAAGAGTTAAAAAAATTATTGTGGTAATGCAGAAGGTACCATGTAAAAATGTTGTAGTTCATACAGTATGCTACTGCAAAGAATCCTCTGTGAAATGTGTGTCATAACTTCACTGACATAACTTTACTTTTCTTTCTTAGTGCTTTGAATTTTAAGTGTGTTTAAATAAAAATATAAATCCAAGAATTTGGTGAGGGTAAGAGCAGCCTGCTAAGGGCCTTCAATTGCTGAAACTGAAAGGAAGGAGAAGAAAAAAATACAATCCAAAATCTACCAAAGGAAAATAAAAATCCACTTTCCCCTACATATCCATTGCAGAAATGTATAGGTATATTAGAACATATGTATTGTTAGGCTCAGTTTAAAATAATCTTCACTGCATTTCCAATGGATGTACACTTGTCTCTGAAGTGAAGAGAAAAATCTTTGACATGGGAATTAATGCATTTTTCCTACAGTAAGCGAATATGTAAATAAGAGGTGTGTATGAAGTACATTGTAGTTTGAAGCACCTCTAGCTGAAGTGCCCCTTTAAGGAAGCTTTCTGGGCTGCTTTGTAAAAGTACTAAATAAATAACACTTCCATTTAGTGTACTGGTGACCTGGATAATAGATGCAACCTCCTGCTTTGCTATATCTGTTCTGATGCAGCTGCTGGCTCCTTGGAGGTATCTGTTTTCAGTAGAGCATTTTGCGTGTTCAGTGTCCATCAATTAAATAGAGCTCTCCACACAAAGCTTTACAACACTAATGCTACTGTGCCTGGAATGTGTGGATTAAACAAAAGATTGGGGCAGTGTAAACATCCTCCTAGGGCTTATTGATGCTGTGTTAAATTAAATGCTGATGGATGCATTGAGACTGCTCAGCTGCATCAAGAAAGGCTGCTTGTTTTAAACACTTAAGCATATAATCTCCTCTTGATGAGAACATGTAGTGCTGTTAGTCTTAATGAGAATTATGTGCATACATTGGACAGGATGTATCCCTTCAAGATTCACACCATAAGTTTGTATAAAATGTCTACAATCAATATAAACTCTTTTACTCTGCTGTGAAAGCCTTTATCACCATCTTAGACACCATGTATCACGCGCACCCCCTCATCTGCTTTGCAGCGTGTCAGCACCTCGGTGGTAACAGCCCAAGCTAGTGCTTGCACCCCCTGGCAGATACCAGCAAACTCCTCTCCATTGTTCAAGCAAGCATAACCTCACATTGCCCCACTCACCATCTGGTCTTAATCTTTACCACCTCCTGCAAGGGAAATGCTATTATCCTCACTTGAAACGTGGGAAATAAGGACTACAGGGTATAAGTGATCTCAAAGGAGTCTGAAGTAAAGCTGGGATTAAATCCAAACAGCCTCAGCCCCTGCTTGACCAATGTCCTACCCCATCTTTCTACTGGAAGACCGCCAAGGACAGGCCTCAGGAGGGCAGGACAGCAGAATGTCTTGGTCTGGAGAAAATGCGGGTATGAGGGTACTAGGTAGTACAGAACAGATGTTTGAACATTGGAACACTTGAACTTGAAAAATAATAGTGCTCGCTGCTTGTTCTTGTAATTTCACTTGTTGGAAGCCATGCGTTGGTCAAGAGCTTACACTTGTAAATGTTAAGGTCATGTGATTAAAAGTGCTCCATAATGGAGTTCTGACTGACTGTGTTATAATATGTGTCAAACAAAATGTATGTCATTTCAGCTGCATAATCCATCTGTTTAGCTGTTCATCTATTACAAGCATCCATATTAATTTAACAAATTGCAATTCACATTTCAGAATAAATTGTATAGCTAAATGCCGTAGCATGTCTATTTAAATTCAAACATTTGCTATAAACAAATAAGTCAAATATGAAGATGTTAGAGGACGTACAGACAATAAGGCAGCTTTCTTACTAGCTAATAAGTTAGATAGCTTGGTGCAGGACTTACAAGATTTGGATGTTTACTCTGATTTTTTCTACTGATCTCCTGAGGGTCATTGGAAATTTATTTCTCTGTGCCTTTATTTCCCCAAGTGAAAATGAAGAGAATGGTCCATACTCCTGTGCATTGACCTGTAGATACAAAATACATCATCAGAACAAGTTATTAATAGCTTATTTTCAGTGAATAATAAATGGGCCAAATTCAATAAATATATTATTAACATGATTTTTCATCCAACATTAAAACACTATGTGTGCGATGGTACACTGCAAATATTGTATATGTAATCACCAGCCGCTCCAAAAGACGTAATCAATTAAATTGTTTACTAAAAGGTAAAGAAACTATCATTCCTCATTCATATACAGTAAAGCTGGTAGCAATATATTCTCATTTAAGCCTTCCAAACGCTTTCAGGTTGTTTTTTCTTGTCAGGTTGGACACAATAAATCTGAATTAGAAGCCTAGCCTTGCTTCAGTCAAAATTCACCTGGTTTCAAAAAGTCTGCTTTTCCTCCTCTTCTAGATGGTGACAAGGCTGATATTTCTGCCAGTATTTATCCAGACATAAACATCATTGCTGGAGCCCTGAAGCTATACTTCAGAGACTTACCAATTCCCGTGATCACCTACGACACCTATTCCAAGTTCATAGAGGCAGCAAGTAAGTATTGCATAGTAATTTGTACCGGTCTTTAATTACATTTCCCATCCAAAAAGCTGTCCACATTGAAGAAAAAGAAAAGACAGGCAATAAATTGGAAGCAAGGGCATTGTTCTGTTTATTACTCCTCTGCCATGTCCTTCTTTCACATGAAGCTTTTGCCTGAATGTTATTGCAGATGGGCCATCATGCAGGTACACCATCCCAGGGCTGCTGTCCCATCCGCAGACACATGTGAGACTGGGTGATGCGTGACAGGTCAGGGATGAGTGAACAGTGTGAGCTTGGAGGGTGCTTCCCATTTCCTCACCACTTTCCCCATCTCCAATCTCATGGCCTCCTTTGGCAACAAATCTGCACCATTGACAAGCATATCCCCTCCTTCAGTCGGTGAGGGATCAGAGCAATGAGGCACACCACAAACCACACCCGCCCTGCAGTTCAGGTGCATCCACTGTTCCTTAGGTCCTACAGTATCTAACCTGTGTCCAGGTGGGAGGCACATGCATTTACCCCCTGCCCATAGCCTGCAGGTCATGGGTGTGTGCTACCAGAGAGGGAGGAGGACAGCAGCATTCATTGCCATAATGTTGTCAGAGAGAGCTGAGATTTGCCTCAAATTCTGCTCTCCGGGGCACAGACTTCCACATAATGATAGTCACTCATGAAAACTCACTAAGTAAATTGCATCAAAGTCAGGTTATTAGCAAAAAATGTCAAAGACCTGAGGTGTCTAAGAAGTAGCATGCTTTCTTCTTTTAAAAATATCCTTAGTAATTTTGAAATGGCACCCAATATATGATAAGCAGCAGGAAGAGTGGTCTGGCTGTGTGACTGTGCTGCCTTCCCTTCCCCTCTGAGTTACCCCACCTCACCCTCCCCATGCAACCCCAGATACCTTTCTCCTGCACTCTCCTCTTCCTCCTTGTCAGCAAAATTATTCTTGCTTGTCACTAGTCCTATGAAAAACACACCAATCTCTCAAAGATTCTTAATCTAAAATTTGAAGCTCCTGGTGCCATTTGGATGGAAAGTCACACAGCAAATATAACTCTGACTCAGTTCACACCTTAGGGATCCACACTTTTCATGTAAAATAAATGTAAATCCTGCTCAGATTTTTAGAGAGATTGCCAAATGAGCACTGATGCTCTCCAATCACTGAGACCTACACATTTAAAGATGTTCAGGAATCTTTGTTTATGTAATTCCATGTTATTTCAATGTCTAGCTAAATTTATATATTCAAACACAGTCTCTAAAGCATATATCCACACTCCTATCTGGTGTTGAAGGCTAGTGGAAGTAATCTTATGTAAGATTTTAAAGAGCCAGTTCTGGGCAGAGTATTATGAAGCACTTCATGAAGCTTGGATACTGTACCTGTACAGGCCTGTAGATAGAGCTCAGACCATAGAGATTACTATTGGGTGGTCTTTGTTGCTGATTTGTTTGTAAAGCCTTTTTTTTTTGAGGATGCAGAAGTTGCTGATAATCCCCATGTTTATGAGTTTAATATTTATCCCTCCAAGCACAGTCAATGGCTTGTAAATTACTCCGTAATAATAATTTAGCTTCCTTAATTATTGGTGTTTACAAATGGAAAGCCCTATTAGCATTAATCCTGTTTGGTGTTTTTACAGAAATCTCCAATCCTGATGAACGACTAGAAGCAATACATGAAGTGTTGATGTTACTCCCTGCTGCTCACTATGAGACGCTTAGATACCTAATGATTCATCTGAAAAAGTGAGTTAATTGGCATGTAGGATAATTCTTGAAGAGCTTAACAATTTTCTGCTTTGAAAGAGAGATATTGCTGAAAGTACCAATTAAGCTTCCATTAGGGCACTGCCACTAAAACAATAATGCTGCAAATACACAGGAAAGCTATGTTTGTATAACTGCAGATACGCTATGCACATACATAGCACAGATCCTTTTGCTGGCAGATCATTGCAAGTCTTTGAAAAGTTAATTGAGATTTGCCACATTTCTCTGAGGCAGATAATATATGAAAAATACCAGGATGGTAGGTACTTCAGAGATACGCTAGATGTGCTGCAGCAAGTCACTTGATCACACTTTGTTTATGCCTCCCCGTACCTCCTGGTTTGTCTTCCTGAACGATAACCCTAAAAGGAAAGAGCCGTCTCTTACAAGTTGTTTGCTCACATCACAGTTAAGCCAAGAAACAAGCAGGGCCTATTTTTTATACAACTAGTAGAAGCAGTACAGGCCCTTGGCAGTTATTTCCTATCTCTTTTGGTTTTAAGCACACTCTGCCTCATTTGCTTTCCAAAGCTTCTTTAGTCATAAGACATGCAAAATTTTCAAAAGTACCTAAATTTCATTGTTGATCTCTTCTTAGTTGTCCCACTACTTGCAGCACAGTTGCAAATTTGGAGTATTTTCTGGGTTTGAGCTGCAGCATGAAAAAAAAGTCCTCAACTCACATAAAACTGCATCGGAGAGCTTTGTGAAGCGCATTTCATGCTCCATCAAGTTCTCATTATGCAGAGACTTTTCCTCATTTTCAATCAGCTCAGGTCATTACAACTAAGTAATTTTACCTTTTGATGAGACATTACCTGGGTATGCAGGAGCTTCTTTGGACTCTGCAGAAATGACATGTGCAGACACCCACCCTTTGTCAGCACATACGCATGGACAACTCAGGATGAACCATGTTGGCTTTTAAGAAGGCCCATGGAGGCTGTAGACAAGCCAGGGACCTGCATACAGCATCAGTACGTCATGTCCTGGCAACAAATTTTTAATAGCCAAGAATTGACTTGCCCTCTTTCTTTTTCGTAAACTGCAGTACAGTCTTTGGTTCAGCTGTTGAGCTGAACTACTGATGAAACAAAAAAAAAGTCCAAACAGATGATTAATCTTTCTCTCTCAAACACCTGCAAGTCATGAAACGAGTTTCCTCTCCTTTTCCAAATTGTAGCTGTCAGCATCTGCACAGAAATCAAGTGCATGTCAGTTCCTATGGAGAATCTGTTGGAGAGATCTGAGTGTGGAAAGAGGGAAGGATTGTTTAGGTTCAGACTACACTTTCTGTAGAGTAAATATAGAGTCCCAACTCCAGCCCCATGGGACTCTTCCTGCATGGAGAAAACATGCCCTGGTGGCAGGGAGTCTGTTTATGTACAGACTGCAGGATCACAGCCTCTACACCAGCACTGTTTCTCACCAGAAAACAAACTGCACTGAGTTGCTGCTTAAAGCACTTCATATTTATTTATCAAATGGAAGGGACACCTAATTGAGCTTAATCAAAGTTGAGTAACTTTTGTATTGCTTTTGAAAAATTAGAGCTACTTTCCCTGAATCTGTTTATTGTCTTTATTGACTTTCTTCCTCCTCCATTGAAAGAATAACCGAGTACAGTCAGGAAAATCCAGCAGAGGACAATACAAGCAATGATAAATGAGCTTGTCAGTCAATTAATTAATTGTTTTCTTTAGTCAAATGGAACATTCTTTCTGATAACTTTTTGCTCAAAATTGGAGGAAATACAATAGCCTGAGCAGTCCCCCCTGTGGCGAAACACATACAACTCCATCCATGCTGACGTTGCAGTGAAACTGTGCAGCTGAATCTTCTCTGTGGTCACCCCAGGCCAGGCAAGAAGCCCCACACTCCTGCACAGAGGTGCTAGTAAGATGTATGTGGCATCACATAGCTGTTCAACATCTCTGCTGCATACAGCCACAGATGGAAAGCAGAGTGTTACACGCACACTTGTGCAGAGGTGGCTTGGGCTAGGCGGCCGTGGCATTGTCTTTTCTCCTTGCAAAGCCCAGCTAACATATCCATGCTAGAAGATGAGGAGGTTATCTGTGAGTAGGGGCACTAATGGACTTTTGTCCTGAAAGCAAAGAGGAAGAGTGTTTTTCTGTGACAGAGCCACTCTCTGCAGAGAGCCAATAGTAGTCCTACAAGGACCTTGCAAACAAGGGAAGACCAGATTATTTCTGGTTTCAGGCTCTTTGTGCTCCCTTGATGGCATGAGTGAATCTGCTGCTGCCCAGCTGGGAATTGCCATGGCCAGGGGTGGTCTCAGCTGTTGCCAGCAGAGCTGGTTCCAAAACCAGATGTGCTCCACCCTGGCACATGGAGTTGGAGGAGATGTGAAATTTCACCTGTACTCTGCTTAGTAACAGCAAGTGTCTGGTCCGTGAGGGACCCATGACCAATGAAGGGACCACAGCTGTCCCTACACTGCAGTGCAAGAGCACTCTCAGGACTGAACTCAAATGCCAAAGGCTTGCTGGGACAACACGGATGGGACCCAGCTCTGTTACCTGGAGGGAAACGCTGAGCACATCTTGCGTTTTTCCAGCAGACCTAAGGGATGACTTCTCTGCATCCTCGGCAGCTTGTGTTTGCTCCAGCCACATGCAGGCTGCCTTTTTTGGTATTTACATTATATGGCCCGTATCAGGGAACAAAACAGCCTGGGCTCTTTCCTGGAAGTGCCTCTGTTCTCTGTCAAGGATAGATGGCATTTGTAGCAGTCTGACTTCAGCAAGCCACCTCTCTGGACTGCTCCAGGATTCAGCAAGCTCCTAATGTGTAATGAGTCGTCAGAGTCACTCAGCTGTTGGTTGGCCTGAAATGTGTGAACAGGTGGCTTCCTGCAGGCTGGAAGCATGGCGGTCACTGGTAGTCAAAAGAAAATCTAAGTTCAGATTCAGGAAGCACATCCACACCCCCAGTGTGGTGCTCACCAAGCACAATGCACCAGAGAACTGTAATTACTGCAGAGTAGAGGACTGCTCCATACATCACCATTTAAACCATGATTATGCTTTTCAGAAAAGCAATTGTCACTAATTCTTATACCCTAATGGATAGCCATATGGAAAAAAATCACTTAAGAGTCACAGGAGGGGTATTGAAAGGCACTGGAAATCACAGCCCCACTGTAATTGCATTGCACTTGCTGTGGAAACAGTTACTATATGAGTGAAAGTAAAAATTGTTACTGAAAATTGCCATTATCTACCAATGCTTGATGTGAAGCTGGACTACAGATGAAAATGCATATATTCCTTTCTTCTGGGAAGTAAACAACTCCTTACCTTTTTTTTCATTTTTTTTTTTTTCTCTTTTAGGGTTACCTTGCATGAAAAGGAGAATTTTATGAATGCTGAAAATCTGGGCATAGTGTTTGGGCCTACTTTAATGAGACCTCCAGAGGACAGTACCCTTGCTACACTGAATGACATGCGGTACCAGAAGTTAATTGTGCAGATTCTAATAGAAAATGAAGATGTTCTCTTTTAGACAAAGAGAGGCATATCTTCAAAGCCGTTTGTTTTAAAATAATTAGTTTGAAGAAAAACCAACATTTCTTTACATTTTTTTAAACATAAAGGAGAAGTTCCTTGACTGCACTTCAATTTCTGCAAAGTTGCAGATGGATGCCAAAATGTTTAGGGAAAGCTTATGTCTCATAGACATATGCCTCTTTGTAGAAGGGAAAAAAAAAGGTCAGAAAAAATCCTCTTACCTTGTATCTTTTGCCTTGCCTCAGATGTATATTTGTTTTGCAAAGTTGCAAACAATTTTATTGTTAACTTATTAAGAAACACAAAACGTATTTTAATATGGCTAGAGAAGGAAAAAGGTACTTAATCAGTGTTACTTGTATACGCCTATACATTTCCCTCTCCATGAGACATAATTATATATGTCAGTTGTGAAACAGAACCTATATTATAAAGCTATTTTTACTTTACCTGAAAGAATGGCATTTTATTTTAACAAACTATAAATCAATGCAGTGCATTGATTATTTTCCACGTAATTCTTTCCTGCATTTTTGCTATGATATATTGAAAACAATTATCACTAATGCAGTATTATCCTGACATACCTCTTTCATTGTAAGTGTTTTAAAGGAGAATTCTTTTCTTCGGTGTATTCCAGCTTTCCTTAGGTTTCTTCGCTTTTGGGCAGTAGCATCCTAAGATTGTACACTTTTAGCCATTTGCTATTTCCCAAAACATATAGTATTTTCTCTTTTCTCTGCCTTTTTTTTTTTTTTTACTCCCATGTAAAATGTGTTATTGAGAATTTTTCAAAAGTCCTGGTGGTAGTATCAGTATCACATGCCAGTTTTTTCTTGGATTATAGTAATATGTGAGTTAAGTGATGCTGGGACACTGGATATTTTCTGGCCTTGTTGAAAAGTTAGCACTTTTTTGGGTTAATTATGAAGGATTTGTTTTTTTCTGTAAAAATCGAGTTATGTTTTGTCATGTTTCTGTATTTATAAACGTACAGTAAATCTGCTAAAAAATGTAGGTATTTATCTTGAATGTGTTTCCTGATGGTTTGTTTAAAAAAAAGAAAAAAAATTAAAAAAAGAAAGAATGTGTAGGAAATGTGGGAGTTGGTAAATTTAATTATTACCAAATTTTAATATTTTTCTCCCCTCACAAACATTGATCTGCAGAGTTCATAGTCTAACTGCAACTTATTCCTAATGTTAAAACTGTTTCTCAGCATGAGATGTTTCTGCAAGCATAGAAAATCAACACACTTTACTACCAAACTCAATTTTCAATACAAAAAATATTATAATCCCTCATCTTCATCATTTGTATCATATGCTTGGTAACTCAGTGATACAGTTTCCTGAATTATTTCAGGGAGCACATGTTTCTATTCAAATTGAAAAATATGTGTAACTACGGTAATGAAGGGAGGTGGAAGGTATGACTGTAAATTTGTCATATTCTAGAGAAATAACCAAGGGCTAGATAGATTAACCCAGATTGCAGAGCAAATGCTAAATAGTCTGAGTTCCCAATACTTCCATAGATCCTCCTGACTTGTACGGGACTATTTGTTGTAGGTTATGTACTACTTAATACTGTCATAAAAATGATCTGGAAATGGTTTTATTTTGTGAAGTGAAATATGCTTTGTAATTTATGATAGTGTAAATGGAAGGAAAAATCCCATTAAATGTGTTAAAGAGTTCTGGTGTCTGTCTGACCACACGGCAAGCTGCCAAATGAAAATCAATGGCTAATTACCATCCTGACATTGCTAGAAACTTTCCTAGTTGGAAAACTTTGAACAGTTTTACTGAATGTCAGCAGTTTCAGATTGGCACTTGGATGCACACACTACCACAGCCAAGCCTATACACACATTTATTTTCTGTGGCCACCCTGAACCACTTCTGTGTAAAACTTTAAGCAAGCAACAAATTGCAATATCAGTCCAATCAATTTCCGAGAATCAATGCCATCAGAGCCCTTTTCCACTCCCTTGAACACAGACATTTGACTAACAATGATTTTCTTTTATTTTTTCTGGTCAATTCAGTAATGAGTTGGTTTTTTTAAGGCAGGAACAGTATTTTAGTACCCTTTTTTCTGTTTTTGTAGGAAGACAAGCAAGCCATTCTGCTTCAGTTTCTCCCTTTCTCTCTACCACTAACAAACTGGTAGCTTTGACATATCTCAAAATCTGGGGTCTTCAACATATGTCCCATCCCTAAGGACTCAATGGCACTACAAAGCAGTGTGTTTAGAAATACCCATGCACAGTGTCTCTGGATGGCAGAAATTTCTAAGCTGTAAGACAGAGGGAAGAGTATGATTCTGCGTCTTAAACCACAGATACCTAATGAGTTGTCCATGTTAGTCTCGGCTAACAATGGCCAGGGTCCTCAGGAGCGTACTGAGCACGGAGGTCAGAGGACCCTGTCCCTTCCGTACCTCATCAGTGCCACCTTGTGCTGGGTACACTTCGTCTCTCGCCTCAGACTTCCTGTGGCCATCCCTGCTGCACCTATGGCTGGGCAGCACCTCTGAGATCTGATCGTCTGCGTGCCAGTCAAGGAAATAAAAAGGCAGCAGACTTTTCTCTGCAAAACTGACTGCTAAAACAGAAGAAAAAGTGTATTTATCTTTAATTCATGCCTATATTCCAGTGCGCAGAAAAAAATGGATCTGACTTCTTTCCCTTTGCTTCAAAGCATTCAGCAAGAGTGTGATGATTTACCTCGCATGAGGCACTACTAGAGGGGAGTAAGAGTCATTTAAAAGATACTCCAGGAGTCCATGTTAGAGCTGCTGTAACTTCCCTGCGAGGTCATTTCATCTCAAGGGGAATGCCGCACTGCTCCTCTGGAAGCAGGTGAGATACCTGTGTCTGACTGCCCTGCAGCCTGTCCGCAGCCAGATGTTCGTCAGGAGCCTTGTTCCCTTCCAGCTACTGGAGAAGGCCTCTGGCAGAGTGCTGCAGGCGCAGCAGCAGGCCCCTGCTGCCAGCACCCACCTGTGCTTCCCGGCTGCCATTCAGCTAGCCCTGTCTTCTGGTGTGATGGGTGCAGCTCTGTACCCCCTTACTGCCGCTCCTCGGAGATACTGGGGTGTGACGATTTGCCTCCCCTAAAGCAGAGGTGTCTTAGCCATGATTAGTAAAACATTACATGAAGTTAGTGGTTTGTAAGGTAGTAACTTTCCTAAGTGCCGTGGAACAACTGAAATATCTTCTTTATACTTCTGTCTTTGTGAGACTCATTGCTGTCAGGTTTAAATAGTTCGAGCCTGTCGGGGCAACTGAGTGAAGGAATTGTTTCCCAGGAACACTGCACCGGAGACGAGGCAGCGTGTGCGGTGTCTGCCTCCAAAGCACACCTACTGAAAAGGCAGCTGGCCGGCAAGACCAAACAGGGAGCTATTGAAGGGTTTCCTCAACTGAGACACTGATTTGGGGCTCCTCGACCCAGAGACCAGCTGTTGTGAAACTTGATTACCTCTCTCCCGCTGTAAATACCATTGGAATGGGACAAAGGAGGTAGAAGTTACTGAGGAAGGGGAAGACTTTGAAAAAAAAACAAAGAGCGTAAGTGCAGATATTGTTTCCTCAGGAAAACTTTTTTAAATGAAGTTGCAAAGGAGACACGGCTTTGCTCTCAACTCCCTGCTCTGTGAGCTGATGTCATTTTAAGCTACAGAACGTGTCTGACAGAGCACAAAACTGGGTGAATTGGTACCACATTCATTTTATTTGTAAGCAAGAGGTAAGGCTACACTTTCATACATGCTTAACTGTCTCACAGCTCACTCAACATCTGAGCTTAGTGAACAAGCCAGAGCTGCAGGGGCACTTGGACTGAGACTCTGGGAAGGAGTGTATCAGGTTTGGGATCTCTGCTGAAACAAGGTACTTGGAAAGACCTGAGCTTTGTGTTACTGTCAAATCTCGGACACAGGCAGGAGGAAGGATTGCAGGCGTAGTACTGGGCAAAACTCTGGTCTTGGTGAGACCTCGGAGAGGTGCCTGGAGTAATAAATAGCTGGGCTGAAGGAAGGCTTAAAGTCACATTGCAAGGAGGTGAAAGTGAAGGTAGGTACTGAGAGCAGTTTGCAGAGCACGTGGAGCAACTGTGACATTTATGATAAGCTCAAATGCTGCACAGTGCAGATCTGTCCAAACAAGAGACACTGTGAGATGATTAACTGTGTTTGCACAGGGCCCTGCCTGGACTCACACATCCGGAAAGAGAGTGTTTTCCTAACCCAGCTAGGCTGCTGCTCTCTCCCTCTCACTCCCACCTGGAGATGGAGACAGTGGACAGCCTCTTCTGCTCCACCTTCAGCTGCTGCCTGGGAAAAGGCAGCCTGCTCCCCTGATCCTGATGATGGCTGGGTAGGTGCTGCCCTGCTGTCTGAGAAGAGGCCAGAGAGGGCAGAAAAGGAGATGGGGCTGGGAGGAAGGCTCACAGAAGGGTCCACAAGCAGGTACTTCTCCAGCTGTTCAAGATCCCCAAAGTGTCAGCAGCAGGAGAGGCGACGACATTCTCCCTCGATGCTGCAATCTCCCCAAACCTTGCTCAAAGGACACAAGCCGCAGGAGCCCGTCTGGCCACCTTCTTATTTCTTTATTGACAAGGACAGAGTCAAGGTCTGCAGAAAAGGGAGGAAGAAGATTTGAGTGCCAACAGTCCACCCTGTCAATAACCAGGAACTGATGAAAACTCTGAATAGGAAGGTAATTCACAAACACTTATGCAAGGAGAAGAATGCCATCTAACTGGATCTTCAAAGCAGGATTATATTGCTATATCCCCTACAGCTGTTTAAAGGGAATGAAAAGACTATAGGGCTTGTGAAGATAAGAGTGAGAACATCAATACTTTTTATGTTCTTTAGCTGTAGAGATTAATTCCTTGATTAAAGATCATGGATAAGATCCAGAAATCATAACCTTAGGGAACTATGATTATTGCTGAATGCTCTAGGGCTTGCAGATTTAGGACATCAATGGATCTTACATGGGGGCCATACTTTACATTATCTTTCTCTGAAGGCATGATATTCTGGATATAATTATGCGGATGCTACAGCTAGAGCCAGGACTGGGAGTTCAAAGCCTGAAGGACCTGGATTATTGCAGGATGTTGTAAGGACTGCAGTTAGGAAGAAAGCTTGTGTCAGTTGGGAGCCAGTGCTTTACAATCTACAATAGAAGTGAGCAGCTGGTTATAAGTAGAGAAACTGTTGGGGTTCAGTTGGGGATGGCAGGAACCAAGCTCACTGCTGGAAGCTGCCTTCATTGCAGGGCTCTGCAGGGCCTGATGAGGTGGGGGTCAAAGCATTCTCTCTTTTCTTCAAAGTATGAGCCATTTGTTATTACTAAGATTAAAGTTAGAATGAGGACTAGGGTTAGCAGTAGGGTTTGGAATTGTTAATCTTGAAGAACATAAATTACTGCTGGTAATATTTGAAGATACCTTATTTTCTGTTATACTATAGGGCAGGTATGGGTATGACCAATGTGCATGAAGATCCATATTATTTACCATGTGCTGCTGCGCAAGACCATTAGGAGACTGGGGTCCATAGGCATTCATAACAAGGTAACAGTTAGGGTTAGGTTAGGAATCCAAATATTGAGCAACCAATATTGCTACTGCATGCTGCACAGCCCTCCATGTTAGGAATAGGGCTGATGTCAATAAGGGACCATTATTTGTGGTGT